GGGAAAGAGAGTGAGGGTGAGAGAACAAGAGAGTGAGCACGAGAGTGAAGAGAGAGAGAGAGAGAGTGCTTGGGAAGGAAAGGAAAGAAAGGGAAAAGAAAAGGAAGGAAAAAGGAAAAAGAAAAGAAAAGAAAAGAAAAGACAGGTGGCAAACATTTAAAATAAAAGTCCAGAAATGTGCTCATACACACTTCTGGGTAAAAATATAAATACTAATAATATTTAAATACCTTGAAATTATTTAAATTCACACGTCAGAAACATTTATTAATTAATTCAGATCAGGCACACTAATAAATCTTAATTATCTCAATTAATCACATTTAATTCTCCGGGGTGTTTGGATAGGTCCTGTAATTTATTTTTATCAAGTGTGGGAATTGTTGGGAATTTCCTTTATTATCATGCGCATAACCCCTATTCGAGCTCTACATCACCGACCCCTGCTCCGGGGCGTGACAATAAGTGACACATGACATTTCCGTCACTCATTGTAACAGAAAAGAAACACTTGTTAACAGAACAAAGTTCGGGGGAAGCGGATGTTATATTTTAAAATTCGAGGGGTAAAGTGCTACAAGGGTCAAAGTTAGGAGGAATTTTTGAAATTAATCCTTTGTTATATGATAGCGTATACTCTAATAAGTCTCAAATTAAGATGAAAATTTACTAGTAGTTAAAGAATTGTTAATGATTCACAATGTTGCTAAATAATCGTGTAGCATGTTTTATAATGCGTGTCCATATAGCTCCTATGGTAGTGAGATGAAAAAAAAATTATATGGTATGTTTGAATCTTAAATTATCCTATACGAATTCGTCAAAATTTAGCTCATTTTCCATCAATAAAGAGCATGAGTTTGGTGCAAGCTATTATAAATTAGCATTATCCTACTTATGAGCGATGTTGATCTATTAATATCTTCTATTTGAGGAATTAAAAAACAAGTAATGAGTTATTAATGTAGAATTGTGGCCGAAGCATTTTTTTTCTTTTATTGTTATTTTCTTTGTTTATTTATTTGTTTTTTAAAAGTGGTCGAAGCATTTTCAAATTTCTAATAGAACGCTCATACTTACACACTCATTTTACTCTCCACACTTTTTTTTAAATTAAATTTTTTTATAACAAAAACCCTCACATAAATTGAACAAAAAAAAAAACAATTATAATGACTTAATTACTTAATTAAATTTTATTATAAAAAACTAATTACTTTTTTCCCCTTTCAATGCACCCCACATATTATATCCCAAATTTTATGTCATTTTACTAATAACTTTGTGTTTTTAAAGGATGATTATTTCATTTTGGCCTTATGTTTTATTCTCTCTTTGTTTATTTATTTATTTTTCATTTTTTTGTTATACTCTTTAGCATTCGTTTTTTTTCCCCTATTTTGTATTTTTTATCAATACCTCAATTGATGTAATAGTTATGTTTGTTTGGCTGAAAAGATGTAACAGATATGTTGATGTTATGCTTATAGTTATTTCTTTTATTTTTCTAAAAAAAAAAATGTAATAGAAAATTTTCTTCATGTATGAGAAAAGTCATCATTCCCAAAACTTAAAAAAAATAGAGAGATTAAGAAACGATATATTACAACAAATTTAGATAGGATGGTGGGTGTAAAAAGAAAAATAAAATGTTCAAGAACTAATAAACTTATAAAAATAGTTAGAGATAATCTTAAAATAATAGAGGTGTGTAAAAAGAGAGTACGGATGTTTTGCATTAAAAAGAGAGAGAGAGAGTATGAATATAACCAACCTTCCCAATATAAACTTTTATAGCTATCAATTGCTTAAGAGCAATTTTTTCTTCCTTTATTGTTGCAACTTATAATTATTCTCGAGATATCTATAAAACCACTTTTTTTAAGAATAAAACAAAATTCATTAATAACTTTAAGTGTCGACTCTTACAAAAAGATCGACATAAAAATCAAAAGAACAACATCCAATTAAACTAAATCAATAAGCGCAGATAAATCATAATTAGTGAAAAAGTGGATGAAACAATTTTCATTAATAACACTTGCTTCACGAGCTTATCGTGACG